AGCAACAAAGGCTTTCAAAATAAAAAGGGAGTAAAACCATGCCCACGCTCATCAGGGTGCACTTGATAAGAACAGCTTTGGAACATTTATATGCTACACAAGCACCCCATTGGGTCCAACTTCTGGCTTATCTATAGGGAACAGATACCTTCTTTAGTTAAGGCAGAACAAATTTCACTTTGCATAAAAGTATTAAATGTGAAAAAATTACATTATTTGAAAATATTATTACAGGACAGTGCATATGAGGTGGTACATAACCACCACCACCCACGCCCCATCCAAAATGGAGAAAAACTCCGCTGGGTGGAGCTTTTGTAGTACGCATTTTTCCCACCAGGCAAGCAAGCATGCAGCAACTCTCTGAATCAGTGCACCCATTGGCATCACATGGGAAGGTTCTCTCTGGTCACAGTGAATTTTTTAGTAAAAGTTTTGCTAAAACCTCGTGTTTTGTTTTTTGTTTTGGGTTTTTGTGTGTGTCATGGCTGATTAAGGGAACAGTGCAGCTGTGAAATTTTGTTTCCTGCTCAGGAAAAATGCTGCAGAAACTGTTGTGATGTGGAACACAGCTTACAAAGACAGTGCTATGTGAAAAACTCAAGTGTACAAATGTTTTTCTTGTTTCAAAAAAAGGTGAAATGTTGATTGATGACAAACTTCATCTGGACATTCATCAACTTCCTGAAAGGACGAAAATATCGACTTGTAATTTGTTCTACCAGGTCAGACTATTAATCAAGCTTTCTATTTAGAAGTTCTGAAAAGACTGCACAACAGTGTATGACAAAATTAGGCCTGGTTTGTGGCAGACGGGGGACTGATGTTGCCAGCATGACAAGGCACCTACTCAGCGGCATCTTATGGTCCAGTTTTTGGCAAAAAACAACATGGCTCTCTTGCACCACACCTGACTTAGCTGACCTCGTTCCATGTGACTTTTTTGTTTATGCAAAAGAAAAGGGGCATGGAAGGACAGTCCTTTGATGACCTAGAAGAGGTGAAGAAAAAAAATCGAGGGAGGTACTGTCAGCCATCCAAACAGATTAGTTTGAAAACTGTTTCCAAGAATGAAATCTCAGATTTGACAAATAAATGTATTGAGTGTAATGGAGAGTAGTTTGAAGGTGATAAGGTTGTTTTATAAAAAAATTTTTTAATACATAGCTTTGAAAAAAAATCCAGTTTATTTTTGGGTACCCTCTTGTATATTTTAAGGTGAACTCTCTTTTATACTTAAGATTAACTTTTTGCTAGGAACTTAATTTGCTGTGTAAAGTTCTACTGAAAATGTAGTAAAATATTATTCAAAAAACAAAACCTTTGCTTGAAATTTGGAAATAGAATCCTTCAAGCCAAATTCATTAAGTGAGGCAGCATCTTTGCTAATGTTCTAGAAACAGCCAATGACAGAGACTGATACCACAGCCGCAGCTATGGACTCCCACCATTGACCAGGAAGACTGCACTGGGCCAGCCAATGTTTACTACTGCTACACATAAGGTTGCTATGAGTGGGCGCCAAACCCACAGCAACTAACAAGCTCCTGGTGGCTAGTGAGCAAAGTGGGGATGGTGCTGGAGACTTAGAGGGACCAGCTTCACCCGTGCCTCACAACCCTAAACAGAGTGTGGAAGAACAAGAAAGTCACCTCTTGTCAGACACACTTAGGTTACTTTATCACCTGACTGGGAGAAAGGAAGCTCTATGTGGCAGTTCTATTCTGTCCTATAGGGTCACTATGACCTGGAATTGGCACAATGAGATCTCAAGGAGACCTGGTGGTGCAGTGGTTAAGCACATTGACTGCTGACCAAAAGGTAGATGGTTCCGACACACCAGCTGCTCTGTGAGACGAAGACATGTCAAGTCTGCTTTCACAAGAATGAGGAGCTGATGCCAAGGGCTCAAGTGGAAAGCAAATGTTTTGAGAATGATGAGGACAACACATATACAAATGTGCTCGACACAATGGATGGATGGATGTATGGATTGTGATAAGAGTTGTATGAGCTCCCAATAAAAGGATTTAAAAAAAACCCTAACCCGACAGCTGCTCTCCTCTGTCCTTCAGGACCCTGACATGAGTCCGAATTCACTTGATGACAATGGGTTTGGGGGAGCAAGTCAAACAAGTTTCTTAAACTTAAGTGGTGTGATTTATACCTGAGAAAAGGATGTTAGAGTCGGAAACAGAAGTTAGGTGACTTTAGCAGCATTTCGAGAATTAACCATAGAAGCCACACAGAGAGATCTATCTGTATTTCAAGTTACAGGGCTCAGTGAAAAGGATGTTTGGTGGCTAGAAAAGCCAACCATCAGTGCGTGCTGTTTGCTGAGCACCCCCTAAGCAACAAATGGCCTTACTTGTTTCATTTTTTCCAGTTCATCTCGGAGGAGGAGGTTTTCCTGTTCCACAACGCGGGCCTGTGTTTTGACTTCAGCAAGCTCAGCCTCCAGGGAAGAGACTGCAGTGGAAGACTAAGAGAAAAACAACAACTCAAACAATGGTCTATTCATTGAGACTGAGGGAGCTTACCCATTTCAGCAAAACAATTCTTAAGGAAACACTAAAGCAAATTCAATAACACTCTGTTTTATGACCATTTGTTCCAATACTCAAGGGAGCTAATCAAAGCTAACTTTTTAGACTCCACTTAATTGGCACAGCCATGATTTTTAAGGCAGTTTTTGCAGCTTCCTCTACTGCAAAGTTATTATTGTTCTCTCTGTAGTTAAGAAACAACTTAGCAGAGATACATTAAAACTTTCCCCAACTTTTGCCCATTCTTTTAGTGTATGTTGTGGAATTTGTTTACAACAGTTATTACTGTAGTGTTTCTCTAATGATAATTTTCCATTTCCTCTTTTCTTTGAATATAATTCTTCTGTAAGAAAGACCGGCAAAAAAAAAAAAAAAGAGAGAGAAAGAAATCATTTTTCTTCTATTTTATTCAATCAAGCTTTATATCAATGTGGATTCATAGATATCTTATTCTATATTTAAAGTTTAATATTTATCTTATACTATGCTATCATATTTTTATTGCTCAAGTGGCACCAGCTTTGACCACTGGAGGCCCCTTCCGATTGTAGCCTGCCCTTTAGACATGCTCCACTTATTATTATCACCTCCTTACTTACTTTCAGTTAAGGAACTCTGGTGGTACAGTGGTTGCACTGTGGGTTGCTACTGCCAGGTCCCTAGTTGGAAACCACCAGCTGCTCCACAGGAAAGAGATGGGCTTTTCCACTCCCGTAAAGAGTTATACTCATAGAAACCACAGGAGCAACTCCACCTTGTCCTGTAGGGTGGCTATGAGTTGGCATCGACTGACTTGATGGCGGTGAGTTTGGTTGGTTTTCTTTCCGTTCCCATGAAATTTGCAGTTTCATCTTCCGTATTCTCTGTCCAACCCTGGCATCAATCACGTTTCCAAGAATCCGGTTCCTTTTATGAGAATGGCATTCAGAAACCACGGTGCCTTCATGACTGCCGCCAGCGCCTTGTTTTGAGGCTGTCCCAGTGGACAGGATGAGGACACAAAACACGCAGGCACACCCCTAAGCTGGCGGTGCAGTGGGCTAAGGTGCCGGACTGCTAACCCGCTGAGCCTGAGAAAGAGGAGGCTGGCTGCTCCCGCAAAGCCGTGCAGTCTCAGAAACCGAGGAGCAGGGCCCTTGCTGTCCGTGATTTTATGAGTCACAACTGACTTGGTGGCCAAGGGTTAACTTCCACACCACACGTCTACACTTCTGTATCTACTTAGTTGGGTGTCTCTGAAAAGCCATACATTTATACTGATACTCTGGATTCCAAATCAAGACCACAGGCTCACTTTAGCTTTCTCTCTTTCCTTATTTGTAACACCTTTCTCCACAAGTGGCAAATTAAGTTCTTGTGGTCAACAATAGCCAAGACTTCAAAGAGTTTGTGGAAAAATGAAATTAGAAGATAATGGAATTTTCCCACAGACTTTTTGAAGTCCCCTTACATGTGCTGTATACATTCGAGTAGAAGCCGAATTTTTCAGCACATTTTTTTT